ACAATGAAATGAAACACATTTTGTCTTGTAAATCTGTACATTTCCAAGGCTTGCTATCTGTTTCTCAGACATGACTAAACATTATTTGAAAGAGGTGCAAAACGTGCTTTAATCAATCAAGAAATATATATAATCAAGTAAAGTGTATATTGGAAGAAGGTACAAAAATGTGTACGTTTTGGAGGAAAATGCATGAAAGTTTCCATATTAGAGGAACAAAGGAGTCTCACTAGTAGATAAAGAAACGGAATGAAAATGTTGGTCAGAAATGAGAAAATCCAACAAAAATGACATTTCTACAGCCTAAGCACAAGTCAGGCTTGCAATTGCTGAGTCTGCGGTCTGAAACAATTATGTGGGGCTTAGTTGTTAGGTTGCCCCTAAATCTGTAGGAAAGAACAAGACCAAAGAGATTCATGTCCATATTGAATTAAGATTTCTTGTCCATCATCACAGAACCCTTGATCAAAAAATATAATGAGTTTTATCCAACACCTTGTTTCTTGCAAAAAAATAAACCACAGTACACTGAGAATTTTACATGGTAAGTAATTAGACTTTCTCTTGACATGCCTGTTGGTATCTGATCACATAAAGGAAGACTAGTATCAACTGCTACAAACACACCATGAACTGGTAGCCATTTCTGGAAATGACCAACAGGACCAAAGGTGAGCAATGTCAGTAGGTCTGAGGGCTAAATTCTTGCCTCCAGACTTTACTACAAGTTGTGCCTAGACATGGCTGAGAACTACCATTTAAAAACAGTCAAACAGAAAGCAATTGAAGAACACTTATGGGTGGGTGGGTGGAGTCCTGGGTGATTCCCTCATGCTCTGAAGAGGTGAACGTAATGACTCTTTTCTTTCTAGTTTTTCTCAAAACAATAATTTCCATGCCATGTTTTGCAAACCCCAGGGGCTTTTGGCTTGGTCTTGACGGCTGCAGAAATGCCTCTGGAAAGCACATACAGCTTGGAGGCTGCAGTTAGCCAACCTCAATATTAACATACTATATTGTGTATTGCCATGTAGGACATAGAGCTGCACGAGGGAAAGCTAGAAGTCTCCATGGAGAAAGGCAGCAGCAGGTCAACAGGACCCTGTTCAGCTCCTGTGGAGCAAGATGCAAAGATGCAAACTGTTGACTTCTTAGGTCTGCAGTCTAGTTAAGCTCCTTACCTCTCAAAGATAGATGTTGTGACTTAAGGGCTGTTTTATTTTGATATTGATTTGGGGGCCTCATGCTGCCCATGGTTGCAGGGCTGGGCCACAGAGTTAAAACAAAAAACAAACAAACAAAACCATCCTCTGAATCAGACCAGGAAGATTGGATTTTACCATTTTACTGGTAAATCAAAGCTTGGGAAAATCACTTTTTGGATAACTTATGTTTTCTCTCCAGCCAACTGAAACCAGATTCAATATTCTGGACATACACATCCTGAACCATTAAAACAGGTCATAATTCGCATAAGGATTTGCCACACATCATGTCTGGCAGAACGTTACATGTTGTTGCTACGTTTCATATACATTGTTTGTAAGGATGTGAATTATCGGCTTTCATTGTTGAAATACCATTTCAGCCTTGTTGGCATTTCTATATTGGTTCTTATTTTTGTTTCGACACTGAAATATTTCCACCTCCTTTGAAGAGCTGTGTGGTTTCCTTGTGCAGTAATCATTTTAGTATAGTAATATTACAGATTCCTATGAGCAGCTGGAGAAACCATTTAGTTAAGGAAGTCAACTAACTGAAGGAAGTGCATTTTAATCCCCCTCCCCCACTACTGTAATACACTCAAAAGCAGACTGCACATGATGTTACATCTTTGGGAGGTAGCTCATGCTGTTAAATTCATTTTAGTAGCAGAAAAGTCAGTTACTGAAAAATACTGAGGGCAATATTATATTTGGAGTATCAGGGTAATCATATAAGTGTTTCCCTGCTCTGGGAGGCCTCCTGTCACGTGACTGATTGCACAAAAAAATTACTCAATGCAGGAGGTTCACCTTTTACGTTCACTCTGCTGCTAACATGAAGCCACTCTGTTTCCCCCAGTCTTTTCATCTGGCTCTGTTTCCCGTCTTCTGTGTGGCACACCGAGACTCTTGTTAAGGTAGAAGGAAGTGCATATTAAAACCAATGGTGAAGCTAAGGTGCCTGAGATAGTCCCGATGAAAGTTTTGATTTATGGGCCATATCGTTGTAAGAGCAACTAAATGTTGTTGTTTTTTTCAGCACAGTTTCCAATGGCAGCAATTTGCCCTCAGCCTTGTCAATCAGGCAAGACATGCTCTAGATTTTCTTACCAGGAGAATGCAAAATTTGGAAATTCTAAATTGCAACCTGATGTAGGCTCTTGTAAATTTAAAATGAGGGAATTTTTGAGGGGAACTTAGTGCTCTGATAAAACTGGTGATTTTTCAAAAGGGTTCCATGTGTGCCTCAAATCAGAACTGTATGTTAATAACAGTACATAAAAGATTTCCTGGATCATTTATTTTGTTGCAATATTTTAATTGTTCCTACATCGCTGCTTGTTGAAATCTGATGACTGAATTCAAGACCATCACAGGAGTTGGTATCTGAAGAACTTTATTACGAGGGATACACTTGGTTCTCTGGTAGGGCACTTGCCACAGTCCTGCAGTAGGTCCCTAGATAAGGGAAGAAGAGGGAGATGCTAGAGACTGGGCCATTTTTAAGGGGACAGCTAATCCATTGTCTCCAATTGGCAACACACTCCGTGTCCATTCCGCAAGAGGAAGCTGCCAAAGAGTAATTAAACATTTGGAACAAATGCTTATAAATGCGCCTTTGTATGAGTCAGAGTGGTGTCTATTTATTGTTCATCTTATCCATTAATTTAGAAATGGATTATGAAAGCCAGCAAGCACAGCAAATAGATCCAAATTATGAGTGAAGCTTGTTCAGCTAATACAGCAAAACTATGACTGGCTTAGTACAGTCTGTGCAAGAAGACTGGCAGGGTTCAGCTTATGGTGAGTCAACTTGATAAGAAATATCTATAAATACTAAATCAGGATATGAGGGAATTATGAGTGGCTGGCAAGCATGCAAAAAGAAAAATTATTTTCTTTCTTGAAACCTTTCAGAAAGACTGAACAAGTTGAAAGAGGATAACAGAAAGGAATAATTTACTCATGCCGTGAAGGACATATTTACAGCATTTATATCCTCTAGAAATGTCAGTGACTTCTTGTTTGTCAGTGTCATTCTGATAAATGATAGGCCTCATTGCCCCACCACAATGTATTTGAGTGTTAATCTGGATTGAACTCTGACCTACAAAAACCATTATCTAAATATCAAACAGTAAGATGCCTCCAGAAATAACTTATTTAGTAGTAGGCAGGGGTTCACACCCACAAAAAATAAGAACAACAGCTTTGTCCCTGTGCTGCTCCACAGCAGAATATGCTAGCACCATATGGTATAAATCAGCACATGCCAAACAAGTGGATGTGGCCCTTAATTAATCATGCAGGATTATTATTGGATGTCTGAAACCTACCCCCACTGAAAAAAATATTATCTGGCTGGCATTGCCCCTCCAGAAGTACACTGAGTGTTGCTAGCAAATAAGCAATGTTATTAAAGCACCAAAGCCATCCACTTCATAAGTCACCAACCCCCTAGACAATGGCCAAAACTGAGAAAAAGTTTTTTGCACATCCCTCAAGTTCTAATTATTAAACCAGAAGAGGCTCTGCTCTCCACAGGTTTAGCCTATCAACACACCTTGCCAAATAGATGAATGCCTAAAGTATCTCCCCTCAGGACAAGATTCTGCCTGGACCATCTCGAAGTTGCTTAATAGACTTCAAAACAAAGTAGAAAGATCAAAGACTAATAAAATAAAATGGGGTTACTTAGATATAGGACAATTTTTCTGTGAATGTGGAAACATTCAATCAATGCAGCATTTCTGTGCATGCAATTTATGCCCTACCATGTGCACAAAAGAAGATCAAGTAAATGATTAAGATAAGGCAATTGAAGTAGCCCACTTCTGGTTAAAAAGAATCTAATCATTTTAACATTTTAATTTGTTGGAATTTTATTTATATTTCATATAGATCTATAATTTTAATTGTGCAATGCAGTAATAGAAAGCAAGCAAGCAATTCTTTGAGTGTTTATTCAGAAGGCAGTCCCATTGCACTAAGAGGGACTTATATCCAGGTAAAGATACCGTATTTTTCCATTTATAAGACAAACCAATGTATAAGAGGAACCTCCCCTTTTCTAACCCTAAATTAGAAAATTTAATCTCTGCTTTTCCCCTTCATTTTACTAAACCATGGAGTTTAGCAAAAGGAAGGGAAAAGCAGGGATCAAAGGGTCCCCTCTCTCTTGGACACAAACAAGGCATGCCAAGAGTTCTCTCTTACATCCTTCATTCAGTTTTCTCTCTTGCCCCCCCCCTTTGTTTCCAGTGGGACTAATGAGATATTCCAGTCCCAGGCTACTGGAGAGGAGAAGGGTGATTTTAAAGCCTTTCTAGTGAATGAAGGGGTGTTGGATTCAGTGCACCCAAGGCCACCTCTGTCCTGCCCTTTTCACAACCTCAGAAGAACCCATTGGAGGACCCAATAGTTACTACTGCAGGTAGAAGAACCACTGGGAATAGGTTTATGCTTACCATAGAGGAATCCAGGAGTACACTGAAAACTGTGTGTTTCTGCAGCTCTCTAGCAGAAAACAGCTATTTTCACGTCACCCTCAACTATTTCAGATTATCATCAAAGCAGGTGAAGATCACTGGGGTTAGTGGGCTTCCTGGGGATCCACAACTGACTCCTGTGCAAAATAGAATGATAATGAAGCATATCCAACTTATTCTCTTCATTTGTTTCCACTGGCAGCCTTTAAATTGGAGCAACTTTGAAATTCTCCAACCCACCCCGGCACTGAAATTAAAATGATAGAGAAAGGTCTGCTATTTTATTTACTCAGATGAAGTTGGTAAGAACAGGATGGAAGCAGAGTCTGTATAAATTTGAAATATCTCACTTAGCCCTTTCCAACATTTGCAGTTTATGTTGGCTAACTTAGGATACCTATAAAACAGCTGTCCCATTATTTTAAAAATGATTTTAAAAATCCACTACCAGGCCTAGGCTTCAACTTGGAAGGTCAGAACTTCTGTTTTCCATATCAATAGTTACAACAATTTGATCACATTTCATTTGCCACAGTTTCCTCCTAAGGAATTCCAGGCTTTATCATGTGGTGAGTTATATACACTTTTCTTCTAGAGAGCAGTAGGGTTGCGGAGAGAAGGCTGGCAGGAGTAGATATTCAAAATGTATGGAAAGCCAAAGATTCCTTATTCATGCTATGTGGAGCATTGGTTCTGAATCTGTTACAACTTTTGACTTGCTAATTTTATCTGCTTTATAGTTGCATTGTTGTACGGTGTATAGTAGGCTGGGATGAATTATGGGTGATGCAAATGATTGCTGGATAATCTTTTTTATGATGGATTTTTATTTTCTTGTCTCTGTGGTTGTTTCTATATGTGGTTGACTCTTGATCAACTCCTTTTTGGAGAGGAAAGGAGAGACAAAAAATTTTCTATAAATAAATAAATTCAAGTTGGTATGTATGTTTGTTTGTTTATTATTTGTTTTGCTTTTATTATTTTATTTTATTTTATTGTTATATATTGTGTTTGCCTCAGCTGTCTGTTAACTGCTCAGGGTAGTGCCTTGCACTAAGCAGACAGTATAAAAGTGGAAGAAATAATAATAAGTGGGTTAAACCTCAGAAGCCTCTGTGGTCCAAGGTCGGAAGACCAGCAGTCATAAGATCGAATCCATGCAACAGAGTGAGCTCCCATTGCTTGTCCCAGCTCCTGCCAATCTAGCAGTTTGAAAGCATGCAAATGCGAGTAGATAAATAGGTACCACCATGGTGGGAAGGGAATGGTGTTCCGTGTCTAGTCGTGCTGGCCACGTGACCATGGAAACTGTCTTCAGACAAACGCTGGCTCTATGGCTTGGAAACGGGGCACCACCCCCTAGAGTCAGACATGACTGGACTAAATGTCAAGAGGAATCTTTACCTTTACCTATGTACCTTTCAGCAGCATTGTAGTCATGCTTTGCTAGAGAGAGAAGGGATTCCTGCAGGCATCTTCTGCTGTTACAGCCTCTAGTCCTTAAAGAGTCTGCATTTCTCCTGTCGAGGATCTCCCAATATTTCTATAATACTGTTGAGTTGACACCTCCATTAACTAGGTAATGCCAAAGCCTTAGGACATCCTGTTCAAGCAATACTTTGTCATGTCTGAATACCTCAGTTCTGGGGCCATAAACTTCCTTAGTGAAGCAGAAAATAAATTCAAAACAATATGCCTCAATCCAACAACACCCCACAAATTAATCTTCTTAATTTTCCTTTGGCTAGTTGAGAAGTTCCCGTGTATCAGATGAAGTGAATTAAATGAAACAGCATTTCCTTCAGGCTCCCATTCTCTGTGTTCTCTGGGAAGATTGTTTACTAACTCCTCTCCTTTGGAATGATTTTGTATTAATTATATTATCACATGTTTATGTCCTGTTCTTTGTTGTTCCTCTCTCAAAAAAGTTCCAAGTTGTTATATTTCACTCCTCGTACCAACAGATAATGTGGCATCTTTGTCCCAAAGCACCTTTGGTCATCAGATGTGTATTGAGAGAAATCCAAATTTCCATGTTTTTGCATATGGCCCTCCAGCACCTTGGTCCCTCAAACAATAAAATATTTAGATGTTTTAAACAATTAAAAAAATTAAAGTTCCCTTGTACACTTTAGTAGACATAAGGACAATTTTGCCTTTTTCTAAGGACTCTCATTCCCTTTAGTTCTTTTTAAAATACTTTTTTTAAGCTACTAGAAGATGCAACAAGCACTGTCTATTTAAAAACTCCCTCAATCATTTATTATTTTTTGGTTAAACTTATTTTGTGGTGAACAAGAAACCATTGTAGCATGTTTTACAGCATTGTTTAAAAATGCTTGGCTTTATAGAATTAGCTAAGACACTGAGCTCCTGGAATGACAGGTCCTGGCGTCCCTGGGTGGGTTGCTCGATTCTGACTGCCTCGCAGTCTCCCAGATAGTAGACAGGGGAAACGCTGACACTGACCCGTACCTGCTGACAGTGGGAGGTCGAGTCAAACCATTTTGACGTTGTTTGGTTTTCGCCTTGGCTTCTGTAGAACCGGACTGAGTGGATCGGCGGCAGAAATGGCTTTCTCAGCTAAGTGACCCTTGGGGACCATCCTTGGCATCTGGAAAAACCTGCAAATCTGGCGAATTGCAGACCTGTTTTCAGTCTGTGGCCGACAGTGTGTGAGTGCAGTGTGCTTGGTTCTCCCTCTGTGCATGGTCCCAGAGACTCCCAGGGAAATCTGACTTTGGCTGCCGTTGGAGATGCACAAGTTCCATTCCAAGGCTTGTTGCCCATGACAAACGGTCACTGAAAGCATGGTACTTCAATGCACCTCTAGTATACCCAGTCTCGTTGTGCATGAGTTTCAGTGAGTGAGTTCAGGGTTGTCTGGAGCTGGTCTGTTCTGGTCAGTAGCTGGTTTTAATTAGTGTCCCAAGAGAAGATGTTCTGTTAACATGGGCAACGGCCAAAAGTGGGATCCTGGGAGCGGTGGTCCTCTGACCCCACTTGAGCGTGTGTTGACATTTTGGAACAAGGTAGGGAAGGGTAAAAAGGTAAAGGTAAAGGTTCCCCTTGACAAACCATGGTGCAATACTGTACAGAGATCTGGCCACAATATGGCCCCCCGGGTTTAGAACAATGGGATGCCAGTGGTTCATTTGAGTGCTTGAGAATCCAGGCCTGGTTTGGATCCAGAATGGTTGGACTTAGTAGGAAAATATGATGAGGAAAATTACATGAGAGCTTTTAAGAATGCTATAGAGAGGTTCCCTGAACCCATCCCCTGTGATAAGGGGCAGTGTGAAATGTCCGAGATAAATCCTGTATCTCAGAATGTGAACCACATGGCACCAGGAATAGAAAAGGGACCCCGCACCTTTATATCCAATGGTCCCTCAAAGTCCGAATAACCCTTTTCCAGCCTGGGAGCCATTGCCCCCACTGATGCCACTGTCCCTGCCACCAGTCCCAGCTTTCCCGCTGGTAAATCAGACCGTTATTAGAAGAGAGGCAGGAAAAGGAGTGGAGGGAGTGCCAGCACAGACACTGACGGTGATGCACCATCAGCCATAGAATCTTTCGGCCCTTTTCCAGACCCACCACCCAATGTGGTCAGATGTGAAGGTCCTAATGCCCATCCTCCTTCATGAAGTGGAACTTCAGATGGTCCTTCAACAGGCTACCAAGTTAGCACAGGAAGCATGCACCAATGACCTGAACCTAACAACAGCTGCTGAAGCTTTCCCTTGGGATGAAAATCCCCTTTGGAATGCTAATCATCCTTACCAGTTGCAGAAACTTCCAGTGTCTGCTGCAGGCTATGCAGACTGCAGTTGTAGTGGCTCCTAATTGGTCAAAGGTTGAAGAGCTCTGATAAGACACTGCTACAGAGAATCAAGTGCCTTATAAGAAAGATTCAACATTCCTTAATGCTAAGCTGCTCTGCATGGGTAACTGCTTGACTGAAATGCAAGAAATTCTAACCAATGAGCATATGTTCCTCAGGGACCAATCAGCTGCAGCATACATTTGTTCTTTTTTAAAGAACTGTATAAAAACTTGAAACTTGTTGATCCCGGGGTCCCCACCCTATTGGAGACCTAAGTGCATACTTGTTTTACCTGAATTGTCCTTTCCCCCAAGAAACTGTCCACTTATTATTCTTTCTCGAGCCATGGCTTAATAGAATCAGCTAAGACACCAAGCTCCAGGAGTGACACTGCCATCACTTATTGATTGATTGATTGACTGATTGAGCTTTTAGACTGTCTGACTTAGTGAAACACTACTCAGGGCAGTTTACATACTTAAGAAGAACATACAACTAAAATATTAAAATAACAAATACATAATACCATTGACTGAAGAAAAACAAAAAAAGGTGACTGAAGATTGACATCTGGTGGCTTAAATGAATCAAATTATACAGTGGTGCCCTGCTAGACGATGACCTCACAAAATGACGAATCCGCATGACGATGAGTTTTTGCAATCATCATTGTGCTTCAGAAAACAGTGTTTCCTATGGGTGTTTTTTGCTGGACGATGTTTCAGTCTGTGCTTCACAAGATGGCTTTTTTCTGGGACCGATGTTTCGCAAGACGACAATTTTAACAGCTGATCGGCGGCTTCGAAAATGGGTGTTTTGGGACTGAAGCTTCGCAAGACAGCGATTCTAACAGCTGATTGGCGCTTCGCAAAATGGCTTCCCTATGGGCGATCTTCGCAAAACAATGATGATTTTTCCCCATTGGAAGGCATTAAACGGAAATTGGTCAAAGAATGAGAAACAGACATTGATTTATCCATTTTTGTTCATAGGATGGGGATAAATTATACAGTGGTGTCTTGCTTAACGGCGATAATCTGTTCCAGGAAAATCGCCGTAAAGCAAAACAAAAACAAAAACAACCCATTGAAACCCCTTCAATGCTTTCCAATGGGGTCAAAATTCACCGTCCAGCGAAGATCCTCCAGAGGGCAGCCATTTTCACTGCCTGTCTTGTGAGGAATCTGTCCCAGAAAACAGCGGGGAGCCATTTTGTTTACCCGGTGGCCATTTTGAAACCGCCAATCAGCTGTTTTAAAATCGTCGTTTTGCGAAGAATCTGTTCCCGAAGCAGGGAATCAATCATCTCAAAGTGAAAAAAAAACATTTAGACCATCGTTTTGCTATTGCAATTGCAAAAAGATCGTCGTAATGCGGTTTTGTCGTAATGCGGGGCAATTGTAAAGCGAGGCACCACTGTATATGCAGATTGCATTGGTGTGGTGAAATGGGCCCAGTGTAAAATAAACAGAAGAAAAGAAAGGGAAAGGAAAGGAAAAGGAAAGAAAAACCCCTGCAGCAAAAAAGTGTGTGAAGATACTCTTGCTTCAGGGCACCATTTAATGTAGGACCAGACTTGACAGTTGCTGGTTCTTGGGTTTTTACCCTTTTGTGCACTCCAGAGAGCTGGTGTGGTGGAGTGGTTAGAATGTTAGCCTAGTGCTGTCCTGTGACTTGGGCTCAAATTGACTCTTAGTCACAAGTTCATACAGTAACTCTAGGCCAATCGCACTCTCCTACCCTAACCTGCCTCACAGTTGTGTCGGGAAAGCAGGGAGGAAGAGAATCCTCCCGAGAAAAGCACTGTATGAATGCAACCAATAAACTAAAAAAAAAAAAATACCGAGAGACACTACATTACATGGGGCTTGATTTCTTGCCATTCTTACTCTGTTCTACAGTATGAAGTAAAAGCTCACCTCTCCAAGTGGGATTACTCATTTCAAGAGTAATTTATTTCTAGCTGAAGATGTCTGTGCGTGCAGAGTACACAGAGGTACATTGTGTTCTCCCATGGTATTGCAAAGTATGGAGCCTCTTTCCAATGGTCTGCCCTGAACATATATTTTCAGTACCTAAATGAAAATGAAAATTAGCATCTCTACAAAGATATGCTGGTGGAAACTCATCAGGAGAAGGGCAAGACAATTCATGGTGCAGAACACATTGCCAAGCATTTTGTTCAGAATATAGATGAGAAGTCTTTAGTTCATGCTTGGCAATACCTTAAGTATTAGTTTAGAATAAGATATTGATGATCTTAGAAATATCATTCTGCCTGAAATGTACATTCCCATTTTGAGACCTGTCAACATATTTGGCTTTCATGGGCAATTCCCTAAATTGCTGTTCTTCCGTAAATGGTTACATGCCTTTTAAGGAACTTTTTTTGGTCTCCCTAAGGTAAGTTTAGATGTTGGAAATTACAACAGTTTGACTGTTAGCTTCTGTCCTTTCCAGAATTATAGTAGGATTTTCACATTTATTTTAAGCATCAAACTCTGCCTGTATTGATTCATGTAGTGTTCTCTGCTATGGGCAGAGGCACACGTGAAAAAGCTGAGTAATGTTATTTTTAGTAACAATGTCATATCCATAAATGTATTACTGGAAAGAATTCCAACTAACACCTTTGCACATGTGCCTGTGTCCTTAGTAGAGAATACTTTGGAATGAACATGCAAATCCACCCTTATACTTCTTTCACAGGTTTCATTTTGTGGGCTGTTGGTAATAATGAAGGCAATTTTCAAAAACTTTGATTGAACCCTTAAACACACATGCACACACACATGTGTGTGCATGCGTGCACACACACACACACACACACACACACACACACACGGTTATGTGTTTCCAGTGGATTATATCTGGGACACGGTTAGACTCCAATAAAGGTAAAAATCTCTCCCCACAAAAAAAGAATGTAATTAAGGCTGTCTCAACATTGTTAAGCTGCTCCAAATACATCTCCAAACATTATTTCTCCAGTTCTCTGTTGGGTGCCAATAAATGGGGGTCAACATTAATCCAAGGAATTTAAAATACTGTATAGCAAAAGCAGAGGCTCTTTTACTACATTTATGGTGTTTCTTCATCTACAAGGGGCCCTTTCCTCATTTATAAATGTGGAACTGCTTTGTTTTGGTTTGCAGATTTACTATTGAGTCAGAAAAGAAAAGGTAGGAATAGAAATTGAGTGCCAATTGCCATTTGTTAATTTTGTGGAAATATACTTAAAGTAGCAAGGATTTGAAGCAAAATTCCAAAGTTTAGTATGTGGGTCACTATTCTGCAACTTACAGCAAGTGCTCACTGACCTAATTCTGCACCTACTTCTTTGTGTGACTTTCCTCTTTCTCTTCTTAGCCACTGTTGAAAAGAAGTGTGTGATAAATAATGAAATACTTCTACAACAACAACAACAACAACAACAACACAGTATGTGCTTCTCCAGAAGAGCAGCGTTGTTGATAAACTTCTATAGATTATGTATGTAAGGTATCAGTAAATAGTACCCCCACTCCACTCCATGCATGTCTCTATCTATGAACATGTATAGGAAAGCTTTTATATCCCATCAAATCCAACAAAGAGTTCTCTGACATCTTAAAAACAAACTTGCTTCAATTTGACAGAAGCTTTCCTGGACTGCAGCCCGCTTTGTCAGGTTGCAGTCCCCCAAAAGCGTCTACCAAATAAAATCAGCTGGTTGTTAAGGTACCACAATAATCTTTGCTAGTAGTTCTGCTGCAATGGATGAAATATTCTATTCCTTATCTTTGTGTATGTTAGTCATTAGTTTTTTTCAGTATTATTTTAAATTGATATTACAATTTAATTTAGACATAAAATAAAAACAGTGAAAGGGAAATATTAATTAAAGCATTTAAGGATAGGTCCCCAAGCAACACCATAAGCTGAAAAACAAAAGTGACAAATCTTTTTTTTTTACTCTACTTCCTCTTTTTTAAAACCTCTAATAAGCTTTGCAACAGAATGTCACAGAAAAGAACGTAAGAGCTATCCTTGGAGACACCAGGAGAACAGGGCAAAAACATCTTAAGAGCCATCTCCAAGTAGATTGAGAGTGCAGAAACCCTCCCCATGCAGCATCCTCAGGGATCCAGTTTCTTCAGAGCCATGTGTTTATTGGCTGTGCCTTCATCACTCTGCTGGATGATGCCATTAAGAATGATCCAGATTTTTTCAGCAGTTAACTGAATTAACAATTTGAAAATAAATAGGTTGGCTTATTTCTGAGGCACTCCACAAGTATGCCCATCTCCAGTTGTTGGGCAGTATGGCATTATATTCAGTGCCAATTCCTCCTGCAGATGGACTGCAGAAAAACAATAACTCAACACCCCCTAAACACACTACAGACCTCTAATGTGGCAATAAAACAAAATACATATTTTAGGTGTCCAGTAAAACAGTGAAATAATGAAATTTTATTTGTTATTTCTGAATTATACAGGTATAGTTTCTCCCTATATATGGAAAGAAACGGGAAATGACCAAAAAAAAGAGATTGCTGGAGAGAACATGAGGCAACTTTAACTCACTTCTGAAATACTAGAGGTACACCACGTTGTGTAAATGACCTATAGTTGACTGATGGGCATGAAGAAGCTGTGTAGCGTGTCGGTCATGATGTCACAGATGCTATTCAGGAATCCATACTGTGACCTCACTGTGATGAAATCGTAAAGAAAAGCCCAAGGTTGTTTCAGCTTTCTTTTATTTCCATAGGTCAGATAATCCATACTGAAATTAAATGGAAACAGCTATTGATAACATTTTCAGCCCAATTGCACTTCACCAGTTCCGCACAAGCATAAGCAAATTCCCACAGTGCAACTGGACAATTGTTGGAAATTGCAATTGTGGCTATTGGTCAGACATTGTGCAAATTCCTATGACTACACAATAGCTGTAATACAGTCCAATACAAGGAGACAGTGAAATAGCGTTGGTGAGCTGATGGGCCACTGGATGCTTTTGCTATAGGGTCCAGCATGTTAGTTTCATTGAAATCTAAGTGAAGCACTTCCATTTAGCTTTCAAATTGATTATCTGGAAATAATAACATGAGAGAAGCCATGCTGCATCTGAGAGAATGCCTGCCTAGCATGTTTACACAGGGATCAAGCAGTTGCCTGTGGGAAGCCCACCAGGAGGACATGAATGCAACTACACCTTTCCTGTCACACTTTATAGCATGTACAGAAGTATGTTGCCTCTGACACTAGATGTGATATACAGTATACCCACTTCAACAAAGTTAAACAATGATATTTACCACTACAGGGAACCACATGGTGCGGTGGTTAAACTGCAGTACTGCAACCAGAACTCTGCCCACAACCTAGGTTCAATCAAGGTTGACTCAGCCTTCTATTCTTCCAAGGTTGGTAAACTGAGTACCCAGCTTGCTGTGGGGGCAATGTGTAGCCTGCATAATTAAATTGTAAACTGTCCAGAGAGTGCTTTATGGGGCGGTATATAAGCAGCATGCTTTGCTTTTAGATTTTTCCAGGATTTACTGATTGCTGCGTACTTGGATAGGTACAAAAGAAATGGATGTACTGTATTGTATACCCTCATGGGAGTTAGAGCCATCAGTGTGACCAAAATAATGCACTAGACAGTCCTTTGATTTGTCCCAAAAAGGGCTCTTCTGATGATCTTAGTGACTGATGGCTCTAAACTTTATCTGATTCTTCTGATGCTCTTATTTATTTTATTTATTTATTTGATTTATACCCTGCCCATCTGGCCTAAAAGACCACTCTAGACGGTCTTTGTGAGTGACTGATGGTTCTAACCTTAATGGGCTAGTTAGCAGACTGCCCAGTTGCACACCACTTTATAAATTGCTACACCCAGCATACAGAAGGTCCTGGGTTCTTGTTCCCTGAATCATCAGAAAGGGCTGGGCAAGACTCTTGTCTGAATGTCTGGAGAACCACTGCCCTTCTGTGTAGACAACACTGACTGAGCCAGATGGATTCACAAGCTGATTCCATATAAAGTGCCTTCCCACTGCCAACCTTAAGCATACTGTACTTACATGACCTTGCATCAGAGAAAATGCATTCAGGCTGCAAGTACTAATTTGAAATCCTCTCATTGTCTTTCAGAAATCTAACATTTCAGACAAAGTTTGACCTGTTTGAAATGTCCTTTGCTCTTTCTGTGACCCACAACAATATTTTTTTTTCTGGAGCCATCACTGCAACAGTTACAAGAGGAATGGGCATTAGCCGGGGAATGAACCAGTCACACAACATTGCAATTTAAATGCTAGGAAAGGTAACATCCTGAACATACAAAGCATTGCTTTGAATAAAGATGTCTGATACTTACAAACAGACCAGCAACAAATGCATATTCATTGCCTAAATAAAGTATTTCAACCTGGTGGTAACAGTGAATATAAAAGGCACACCATGCGAGGTACCCAATTTTCTGCTATTTTGTCATTTGGTTTAATGATTATAGTGACATCTACTGTTCTCAAATAATTTCGCACATTTTAATTCTATGACACGTGAGCAAATACTTGTTCTGTAATTCTTGTCTGCTAATTTATTGCACCGATTTCCCTTCCTCTCAAATACATTTCATTTTATTATTTCAGAAAAGCCTTACTGCTCCATGAAAAATCACATAATTTTAATGACTTAATTTATTTGTATTGCTGGTGCCATCCAAAGAAGGCAGAATTTTGTATAGCTCATGATATTTATAAATAGTAAAATAATATCTCACGATTTGTGGTTTAGCACCATACCATGCGCCTGAATATTTTTAGTATCCATCGCCACCAGGCACAATCCAGTTAAGCTTAAAAGGATATTCGTCATCTCTGTCTAAAGGGGAGAAAATTAAACCCATAAAGATCTGGAGATCTTTGCAACATTTGCTGACCAGAATAATTTTGAGGGAGCAGTTCTTTATAAAAAAAGAGTTGTTTGTCTTCCTTGGATCTTCCCACCCAGTCAAAGAAAAGTTTATGCTTGCAATACACAAAGAAAGTGTTCTGCTAAATAAAACTTTGGACACTCCCTACTCTGGTAATTTCTAGCAACTTTAGTATGCTGTTTCTTGGAGCAAACAAGTACCATCATATTGATTCACAAGTAAGGGAAAAGGTGTAACTCAACTAAGGAATCTTGAAATGTTTGATAACTGGTTGAAATGATGAAAGCATTTTTGGAGGCATTAATAACACTCATTCTACAATGCCTTAAAGTTCAGTACTAATCAGATAGTCTGCAAGGTGTGTATGCATGTGCTACACACATTTTGCTTATTATCAATACTTTGCTAATAAATAATAACATTGGATGGTACAGGGAAGACCCGAGTGGGAAGAGTTGTAACCCAGTGCTTTGCATGCAGGAGGCACTGGTTTCAATCTCCTGCTTTTCAAGAGATTGCTGGGAAGGTCTCCTTCTGAGACGTGGAAAGCTGGCATAAGTGGGACAGTCAAGAGGTAGATACTTGGCTGGATAGCAGAGCCAGAGGTTTGGAGTTTGATTCCCCACTGTGCCTCTGGGAGAAAAGCCAGACTGTTCAGCCTTGGACAAGTTGCACAATCCCAGAATATCTGCAGAAGAATTGGTAAACTGCTTCCAAGTAATTTTTACCTAGAAAACCCTGGAAAGGGTTGCCAGCAGTGAGAATCAAATTGATGCCACATAACACTGTAGATGGGCCAATGCTCTAATTTGACACAAAGCAGCTCCCTGTATTGCTAAAAGAAAAGAAAGCAGGATTGCAACTTGAATTTTAGTGAAAATACTCTGAGATACTCTTCCCATGAAAATAAAGACAGAAAAAGAGATATAAGCAGTCAGAGAAAATTCAGTTAGAATATTTTTCATGAGCCTGGCACAGAAATTAGTTGTTGCAAGTAACACAAAACCCGAAAAATATATTGCCAGAAGTTGCAGAACTCTTCTCATGGTGGCTTACTTTCAGTCACAGGTTGCCTCCCTATGTCATTAGTGGATGAGGCAAAAAGAGAAAAACATTTCGGGAATATCTCTATAAGAGTGCAAATAATGAAGACGAAAGGCACAGTTGAGTTTGTGTAGAGACTATAAAGTAAAAGGCAAAGCACAGATGCCAACACCAATAAAAGAAAAGAAAAACCAGCTGTGGTATGTTCATGACAATATCCTGCTGCAGAACACTGCACAAGGATGATTATATTTCTCTTCCACTCCAGTAGGCTCCTTCCTGTGCAGCTATTGTGTGACCAGTCTTACAACTTGTACAACAGGCATGCAATGGAGAGCATACTGGGGTTGACGAGATGGTGATGGTGGCAAGCTTACACCATCAATCCTTCTCTACATAAAGACAAAACCAAAGAGTAAAAACTAGAGTCTATAGCAACATTCAGAGAGCACAGAGACCAACTATCTCAAATGAAGATTAAAAATGTAAGAAAGTAAGAATACACAGAATGGAGATCCTGTGTTTTTTTAAAGTACCGAATCCTTCAAAAATCTTTTGAAGAGGAGTGTCAGTGAAGGAAAATGCAAGCTAGATTATATGAATTGATACGAATCAGAGAGTTAAAGAGTAAAACGTAAGACACTGATAATAAACAAAACATATTAGAATTTTGGAAGAAAAAAAAGAAAGGAAATGTTACTTATAAGAATAATGAGCTGATAATTAGAACCACAGGGGAAAAAGAGAATATTTCTTCAAATGTGTTAAGCAATAGCTTGCTTACACTTTGAAAGAAATTCCAGAAGGATCAGAGAACTTAGATACAAGTTAGCATATAAGAGACCAAAAGTAATAGTGGAATGCAAAAGATTTGTACAGTGGTGCCCCGCATAGCGACGTTAATCCGTTCCGGATTAATCGTCGCTATCTGGAAACATCGCAATGCGGGGGGGAACCCCATAGAAACGCATTAAACTTCATTTAATGCATTCCTATGGGGCGAAAACTCACCGTTATGCGAAGATCCTCCACAGCGCTGCCATTTTCGCTGCCTCAGTAAGTGAGGAAATCATGTGAAAATGGTTGCGGTGGCCATTTTGGGAACCCGGTGGCCATTTTGGAACCGCCGATCAGCTGTTCTGCAAACATCATAATACGAAGATCGGTAAGCGAAACACCGATCATCGCAATGCTATTAAAACATCGCAATGTGATCGCATTAGCGATCCCAAAAAATAGATCGCTATGTGGATTTGTTGTTAAATGGTGCGCTTGTTATGCAAGGCACCACTGTATAGTCAAAGAGGCTATACAGTATCAGGCAAACGAGGGTGTTTGTGCTTTAGCCGCTTGAGGGAGTGGGGCTGGGTCCATGGTTGGAAAAGCCGCCTAGAGTGGTCTTTTAGACCAGATGGGCGGGGCATAAATAAATAAATAAATAAATAAATAAATAAATAAATAAATAAATAAATAAATAAGCTTGGGATGCAGCTTGACTGTTTCCTTCTTCTGTTCATCTGTTATCATCAAATAAAGGTTTTATCTGAGGGTATTTGAAGAGAAAACCACAGAGAAGAACGCAGAGGTGGGGGAGAAAAATATGCCACAAAGTATACCGGAGAAACGGTACTACTGATAGAAAATTCTGGGTAACAGAATCTAAATAAAAAGTAGGATGAATGCCAAAATCAGTGAGAATAAAAGAAAGAAAGGTGGAAATAACAGGGATGAGCCTAGATTGAAAAATACAAAAGATAGCCGGAATAGCAAATGCAAGTTGTATAACATCCATGTAAAACATACATGAAAA